TAGGAGACTTGTTTGTTGTGAGAGCGCAAAACCAAAGTAGAATAACACAGATATTACAATATATCACAATACACGTGAAGAAAAAACATGATTTTGCACCGCTCACAACAAGCCTTTCTGTATATGTTATATTGTATTATATTATAATGTATTATATATTATATTATACTGTATTATATTATAAAATATTACACTATATTATATATATATATATTATAACTAAAACTATATTATATCTATGTTATATTATATACTGCGTGTGTTCCAAGAAGCTCTTTTCGTTCGGAATCCCTTTACATCGTGCAACAAGGACACTGAGGCCTTGAGGTCGTGACTCAAAGATGTGTCAAATCTCCACCGATATTATATGAGGCTTCAATTCTGATTTGTTCCGGGAGTCTTTCGGGTGTGCTTATCGGAAGGGCCCCGCAGTGCCCATGACATCTGATTGGAAGTCAAGGTTCGTGATTTCGACATGTTTCGAGTGACTTGGAATGTCAACCCACCGCCTTCTCACAAAGTCCACTGACAAAATGGACACATGGCCGGCGACAGAGTTCAGGATGTCCATAGCTTCCTTCTGACGGGCCTCACCAACAGCCCACCAAGGGGTCGTTTTCACGAACCTGGAGGTCCAACCAGACTGTGCATACGAAACGTGTGTCTCGACCCCGGTGATGCAGGGGCAGGCCACGCGAAAACGCGAAAACGGCCAAAAACGTGAAAACGATGAAAACGGCGAAAACACGAAAACGAAAGTAAGAGCCTGTTGGAGTGGAGTCAGAAAAGCATGCCCGAGATTGATCTGGGATTGGAAGTTGTTGTCTTGATGTTGATGGTTCGGGAATGGTGGTTGTCACAACGACTATTATAAAACTAGTGCTTGGACTTATAGGGTAAGTGTATATATATATATATGATACACCCCCAAAGATCTACCATTTTTGTTTGTTTCACGGTTGTGGATGCTCATCCATCAGTTTATTGAAAGGGGAGTACCATGTGTATATATATACACATGTCTTATTGTATGCTAAGTGTTGAGATGCTCGCTGCACATCATTGGTTGCAGGGAAGTATGCGTACTGTACGCGTACAATGGTCAATGTTTACTGTACGCAAACTGTTGTGATGCTCACTGCACATCATTGGTTGCAGGGGAGTACGCGTACTGTACGCATACATTGGTCTGTCAAACAAAGATCCCTGAAAAGAGCTGTGCGCAATCTTGGTTCTTGGTTTCTTGGTTGGACCATTGTACGCGTACAGTACGCTTACAAATGAATCTTGGTTTGGGGTGTGTCCTTTTTGAGACCCAGGTCATCCAACTTGTGTAATGTGCATTGGCTGCATCAAACCAAGATTCCTGACAAGAGATGTGCTCAGTCTTGTTTTTTAAAAATTTTTGTTGTTTTGTGCTATGTACGCGTACAAAGCGTTTGTACACGTACTTTCCTGAAACCAACATGCAGTCAGCATCTCAAGGGTCATCACGCAATAAGACATGACACAAATATATCAAAGTATGACACGACTATAGTCCCATCAGGTTTTTTGATAAAAAACATTGTAGGACTATAGTCCCATCAGGTTATTTTTTATCAAAAAACTGATACAACAAAACTCATAGCGATTGACAGGACTAAAGCCTTTACATGGGCATTTACACAGACGAAATTCATACCGGTTTTTATGAGTTTGATAGTTGGATCATTACAGGAATGACATTGACATTGGCAAAATATCTTGTTTTACATTGTATACGGTGGAAGTGAAGGCATCAAATGTTTTCAATAAGAAGTATACCTTAATATATGGAAAGTGTTTAAGAAAACTATATACTTTCATTCACTCATTCATTCATTAGGTCAATATTGTCCAGATTGTTAATGAACTATGGGAAAACGATCTAACTAAAGATGACAAAAAGAAAAGAGGACACATCACAACACCGCACAGAAGTTACGGTTTCACACTTTGAGGGAGGCTTGCCATTACCAGAGGAAGTTTGGAGGAAGGGTTTGTGCCATACAACAAGAAATAGAAAAAAGAAGAAGAAACAAACATGCAGTACCTATTACATCTTAAACACAACCAATCGAAATGAACTTTTCAATGGGCCTAGAGATATAAAAGAGCTGCTTCTTCAATATCATAACTTTTCAATGAATGAAGCGTAATCATTTTTCAGAAAATGATATTAAGGTCTATTCAGTCGAGAGTGATGCCTTCAGTATTTTGACTAGAGTGATGGGTGAACCAAATCATTGTATAAAATCATATCAGACTGGAATATTGAACTTTGAAGAAGGCATAGGCAAGTGGAGACTGAACCAATTTCCAACCAATAAGTACATATTTTGATATAATGGCCTAATTGAACTTCCAAAACTAGAAAGATGAATGGGACAACTCCGGAATATGTAAGCAAGTTGAAAAACAAAACCCCTGCATGACCAGATCAAAATTCTGGATCGAGTTACACAGGTCAGTATTTTTAAAAGGTGCATAAACAAATTTTGTTTGTAGAGCCTTATAACTGGTTAAGTCAAAAAAATAGAAGGTGATGCAACAACCCATAACATTTTTTAGAATTCCAGTTCATAAGCAGGAAATGAGTCTTTATAGAATTTTTTTGTGCTCAACGTGACCAAAAGTGGAACTCTTCGATCACTCGTAAGGTGCCATCCAGCTACGTCCAACAATGACTTCAGTAATCCTTGGAACTCCACGATTATTGCTCTCACCTTGTTTTCCTCCATAGGCCAGAGTTTGATCATAGCAATTTTGATGTCATCTTCTTTGATGAAATCTATATGACCAATCTTTTACTTTTTAAAACTTTACTGAAAACACAAGGACAATAAAATCATCATAGGCGCCGGTGATGCAAAACAGTTAGAACCCATCAATGATTTAACTAACACCCAGTCAAAGACCACAATATGGTCAAAATTGTGCTCAGCTTGTTCTCTGAAATCAGTGAAATTGTCCAAAAGGTTCATTTGATATCTGAAGATATCACTCAAACAGGCAAAAATGGTAGATCTTTGGGGGGGGTAGCTACACACATATATATATATATAAGACATCCAAGGTTGGACACTATATAGGCGCCTCCTGCCACATCCTGTTGTTGGGCCTCTTTTGAGTTAAAAACCTTCGAAAGTGGCGAAGACCACGAAAACGACGACTGCGCGAAGACCGCGAAAACGACAAAAACGTGCAAGCGGCGAAAACCGCGAAAACGGCGAAAACGACGAAAACGGCCAAAACGACGAAAACGGCGAAAACGACGAAAACGGCGAATACGACGAAAGCGGCGAAAACGGGAAAACGGCGAAAACCATTTTCTCGCTTTTCTCGATTTCACGCTCAAAGACAAGACAAGCAAGAAGACGTAAGAAAACTGGAAAAAACATCCACACGGCAAAACGCGAGAACAGTTTTCTCGGTTTTCTCGGTTTTGCAGTCGCATCGTGCGGGCCACGACGCAGGTTTTGTGTTCTTAGTGAAAATTGACCCATGGACAAATATGTTCAATATTCTATATTGTTCAATTATTTTCCTCTACAGCCGGGTATTTTGGGAGTGCTAGTTCCTTCTTGGTAGCTGCAGTTAACTCTGTGCGCCATTGGAGCGCATGGAGATTCGAGAAACCGTCTGCTCCCATGGGATGCTCCAGTGCCGGCCGTGCATCGTGGGGAATTTGTATGGATGAAATGAGAAACTCACTGCAGCAAGTAAAACCATAAACTGTATGGACCAAGTCACAAAAGAACTAGACGATCCACGCGAAAATTCAGGCCGATCACGAAAAGAGTCGAGCCAAAATGAATCAGACGTGCACGTTCTTTCACACACCTAACTTTCTGCAGCTTCTAGCTGAAACGAACAACATGCACGCTGTTCAGTTGCCCCAAGTTGCTTCCACTAGCTGACAATTGCATGTTTTTCACCAACAAGTGCCCCAAAACTAGCCCCAAATCTAACATTTATCGGATCCAAACGTGATGATTCCAGAGACCAAATTCGTGGTTCGACATCCCATCTGCCTTGCAGGAAGACACCCAAAGAGTCCAAATAAGGAATCTGCCTCTCCTCCGCCACCTTCTCCGATCGCTCCCACAACATGGACACCTGCGACACATGGCGGTCGCGGGAACCGTCGCGGTGGGGTGGGTTCTTGTGGTGTGGCGCCAGGAGGTGTGACTCCTCCGGTTTTGCCGAGGGAGAGAGCCGAGTCGGAGGGGCTTTCACTCTATTTTGCAAACATGGAAGTCTATCTATCAGTGTCTATCAGCATCTATCAGCCGCATTATCAGCCATTATCAGCCCATCCGAAGGGAGATCATCTGCACAACGCTTCCTGGAAGAGTTCCTCGCCAATCCATAAAAGTCCCCCGTGCGGAGTGTATGTAAAATTAAACTCATCACACATACACTACATTTGCCATATCAAGAGCAATTCACCATGAGGGATGCCATTTAAGTTAGACATAGCCTGACCGAGTTTTACGGCACCTGAAGATGGCGCTCCCACTCCGTCAAGTCGATACTGTCGACCAAGTTTGGGCAGCTGCGAGAGCGAAGCAACGTGGTCACGTCAGCATCTTCAGGCTCTGCATGGATGAAGGTGCGCTGATAGCGAAGGTTCACCATGGCCACTGGGAAATAACTGACAATGTCGCCACAGTCTTCCTTTGAGCCACACTTTTCCAAAAGTTGTCCCATGCTCTGTATGCATCATCAACAATCCTTAAAGTTACACCCCACACACTAATACAAATGGAAACCATCTCAGCACCTATGGACCTATGGTTGTATCACGATTTCTGATGATTTCTATTCTAATGGGGGCAAAATGAGGTTCATTTTCAGGGGGGCCTTTGGGATCGATTTGGATCAGGCGGAAATGACTTTGTGTTCCTCTTGTGTGTTCTTGAGCTTTTATGTGTTCCTCAGGTACCGGAGTGAGTGAAAAACTCTTGGCACCGGGCGGGTTGAGCCTCTTGATCTGAAAGGCAAATGATCTCCCGGACGGAGGTGCACAGCAAGGCATTCAGCCTCGTGCCGTGCGAGCAACGAAACCGCAAACAAACCGTTGGATCCAATCCGTCTGTAAATGAAGAAAATGCAGTTCTTGAGTTCTTGGGCTCAAGAATGAAGAACATCCGGGGAGCCAAAGGTGTTTCTAAGAGTCCTTAGGCAACCCTGGAAAGGAAAACACTCCACATACTCATGCATATAAGCCTTACATGGACTTCTATATAGGGCAATAGCATCAAAACAACAAATGAGATACGAGTTCAGATGAGTTCAGCTAATGAGGCTCGATCCTCTCAAGCATGTCACTGGCAATAGGCGCAATTGAATCAAGCGGGAATACATAATACAGGTCAACGAAGACATCAACCTATTCAAACAACTCTGAACACAAAAAAACAAACCAAAAGCAATCTTAACTTTTCATGGGGCGAGATGCAGGCAGTAACGCCGAACATGCACGCAAAGACCGGGGTTAGCACGAACCTCGAGGAGAAGAACCGCCATGGGTCATGAACACAAACCAAGGGCGCTGTGTCTTGGAGGGCCGAAGTCCCCCACTTACAGATGTTAGCACTTGCACACAGAGATTGGAGGTCAGTCAGTCCTTGATAGTTATATCCAGCCTGGCAAATGAGCCACGTGTCCTCTGTGAAAGTCAAGGGGGGGCCAAAGGCTGGCTCCTGTTTCGATAAACAGTAAACCGGAGCAGGCCTCTACTTTATTTCACAGGCCTTCCGTGTTCACATCTCAACTTGTCTGAGCGACTGATCGACATGCGCTCAGACATATGTCTACAAGACGCTGTATACATTTTCTTACAACTCGAATTGTTTCATCTAATCTTTGCTTTTGCAATCTGGCGCATCTTTTCTTCTCTATTTGTTGTTCTACAAAGCAACTTCCGTCATCAGTCAAACACCACAACATATCTCGCAGTATGCAACCAAACATGTTGTACATTGTTGTACCAATTAAACAAATTTGCTGAGTAAAACATAGTAAACCAATGTCCTGGTCCCATTGTCTCACCGATCTTTTGGAACAGAAAATGAAGAACACTACAGTATTTACAAATTTAATTTACTTGGATAAATTATGGAACACATGTCAATATTCACATAGCCTTTGTCCCTCCCACTCATGGTGGGCTTCCAATCAACGTTTGACTAGATGGGCGTCTGCCAAAACGTACTGTCAAGTAGAGGACATGATTCAGCAAGGTTGTCCCTTTTGAGGGGGGCCTGTCGCTTTTGCAGTCTGATTTAAATTTTAGTCATTGCACGTTTTGGCGGTTGCTCAAATGAGCCCTTTATTTCCCACAGCATCGACATGGCTCACTGCCAAGTAAAAAGATCTAAAAGATCGCTGGACTGTATCGATCTTGCTGGGGCTGGGCCGGGCTGGGGTGTAAGGAGAGTTCCAAGGTTGGCTTCCAAGGTGACAGCGCCCAGGGACAGCACCTGACAGCACCCAGGGTTCCAAGGTTTGAAGGCAAGGATTCATGGATGTGTATGGAGAGCTCTGGGACCGAAGCCTTGCAGCCCGAAAAGCCCGCCCGCGCTGGGAGGCGAGCCCCGTCACCGCTCCGAGAATCGCCGTGGTCACGTCTCCGATTCTCGTTGTTCCATTGGGTTGCTTGACAAAAAAGTAATGATTTCATATGATAGCCAATTTGTCCAAAGGTATTCCCTTTATATAAATCTGTTCATCGAAATTGAGACCGAGATGCTGTGCTAAGGAGGAGACAAAACCACAGCAGCTCCTAAGATAAGCCATGGGTCTCGCAGCTCTGATGCAAAGCCATGGAGTTGTTGATGCTTCGATGGGAGTCATAGATCAGGGATTCAACAAAATGGTGGAGGCATGGGGCCGTTGGGGGTCATCTGTTGTTTGAATCACATGCATCCAAGGCATGTGCCACAGTTTTGTATTTTGAATGAATATAAGACAGAACATTAGCACATATTAGGACTGAAGGCTGTTGAGGCAGGGAACCAAGCTGCAACTCTGTTTGGGGCACTCGGACACTTGTCCCTTTTTGGGCCCGAAACAAGAAAAAGATCGCTTACAAACTACCGGCATGTCACACTGTTTAAAAAGACCCTTTTGGAAAGGACCAATTAAGTGAAGAGTGACCTGGAGCTTCAAATAATCTCGGAAGACGGGCACAAGTGTCACAAGTTCCATCTTCTGGAGGTTACTTTGGGTGTTCCATCTGGAAGAAGGGAGACCCCATGGGGAGACGAGACCGACCCCTTCTTTTCACGCGGCGTTCGGGAGGTCGCCATGATTCCGGGATTGAGCCTGAGGCCGAGGCCACTAGTCGTTTCGGTGTTTCATGACGAAACCGAGAGCTGCCAAGCCACAGGGAAAACCCAAGCACTGGGCCACCCACACGTGCTCCTGGCAAAAACTGCCCAAATGTCCGTAGGCATGGAGGGCTTTTTTTGCATTATACTGGTGTCCAGAAACTCCCATCTCAATTCACTGGTGCTGGGCGTTGCAATCCGGGCGCTTGAGAGGCCACAACAATGCTTGAGAGGCAAACAAGATCAAACAATACTTGTTGGCGCAAAATAAAACCACATGTTTGTTGGGTTTCAGGGCTGAACGAAGCAAGAGAGAGCCGAGCAAGCTGATCCCATGGGATCGGTGAAGGACAGCACTGCACTTTCGGCATGGTGCGGGTGTTTTTGATGGAAAACCAGGGTGCTCCTCCAGTCTGGGCCAATGTTCAATGCATTCAGGCCTTCGATTCTCATCCCATGAATCATACTCACCTCTGTCAATCACCACCATCCAACCACGAAAGGATCGCCAGCGACATACCTGCTGCGACGTCGGATCCGAACCATACTGCGCACCGATGGTTGCCAGAAAGCCATCGTGCCACAAAGAGGTCTCAGGCTCCACTGCGACTCCCACGGCCAAGGGTAGCACCTTTGGCCGGAAGAGTAGGGGTGTAAGGAGTAGGGGCGGCGCTTGGAAGCGCCCAGCACAGCAGGAAATATAAACAAGAACACGTAGACTTCACATGATGGGTGAGAGCTGCAAAGTCCTGCAATGTGCTGCCTCCATTCTTTCCCCTTACATACTTGGCTTGAAAGGTCGGTGTGGGCTCCAAAAAACAGGCAAAGGCATAGGTTTCCAGTTTCCATGTCCAAGCGTCACCCAAGATCCACAAAACAGCTGTGCAATGTTACAATTGCTTGCTTCACCACCCCTGAAGGATTAGAATTTTCAGGGCCACGCCCAAGAACTCACTCCGCCCCAAAAAAGATGGGTCGCCGGAGTCAACAGATTGATGCCTGGACCAATGTCCAATCTCTTGGGTTTTCATCTTGTTATTTGTATATATTCCATATTATATATAATCATAAATATATATATATATTATATGTTGACGCAAGCTTGGTGCGCTTAACTAGTTTGGCGCTTTTGGAGCCCTGGGGGTGTGTGGAGGTGGTGCGCGGGGTGGTGCGTGAGGCGGTGCGCAAACAAAACGCCCGGGGTTCGGTTTGTCCTAAGTTTTGCGGTGCGCAGAGTGGTGCGCGGAGTGGTGCGAGGCGGTGCGCAGACAAGACATCGGGGGTTAAGCGGTAGAAGTAAGCTCCGGTTCCCCGCGCTTCCCCGCGGTTCCCCGCGGTTCCCCGCGGATTTGTGCGGACACCAATGGCCAATGTTACAGTTGACCACTGCTTAAAAGCCTATTGATTACAAAATAGGCTGGCTGTCCGCGGAGAAGCGCACGGATCCGCGGGGAACCGCGGGGATCCGCGGGGAACCGCGGGGATCCG